GCATCATTCATGCTGGCAATCCCAGCATGATCAGAGGCCTGCGACAGGTTTGGACGTTGCACGCGTCGAAGGAATACTCGAAGCGCACTAGGTGTTCGTCAACACCATGAACCCGAGCCCTTCGGGGCCCTTCGGGGTAGTCCGCCATGGTCGTGATAAGATATTAGAGACCTTGGGTTAGGTGCCAACTACGGATGAAGTGGCCCGAATCTCAGATTCAGAACTTTCTCGCCCGGTGAGCGCAGAGGAGGAAGGTCGCCACAGTGTCGCTTTAGCCGATGGATGATACATCCGATGGGACAGTGCCGAACGGAGACGTCTGCTCCATGCAGAAGAGGGGAAATGAGGTCGGCTGTTCCTTACTGAAGAGGGATCAACCGACATGTTGAGATTGAACGATATAACGACGTGAGCCTAATAAGCCCACTGCTCCTGCATTTTGGTCAACGTATCCTCGTCCATGCCATAGCAAAGGGCGCTGTTGGAAAAGCACGACTTGACTCGAATATGGTCAACGTGTACACAAGCCGGCAGGAAGAACAAAATGAACGATATGAAGGAAACCGACATTTGGGATGAAAGCCGACCGGGAAAAAAGAACGGAAAAAGATATTCAAAAAAAAAAAAAAAAGGCTCAAACGGCGTCTGGTGAAGCGTGAATGTGAGTCATATTGGTATATGGTTTTCTAGGACGAGATGTGTCGAGCTGGAAAAAATTCACTGGCATCATAAGATGTAAGCAGGAGATGTTCGAATTGGGCGTGAAACTCGAGCCAGTCGGCCGGTTTGCCATCAAACCCCTTAATGGGTTGTGACTCTTTTTCTTATTTATATAATATCAATCAGAAAAGACGCTGAGAATTGTTCATCGAGACCCATCTCCGTCTTTGCAGCTTGGATGCGTCTATTGGTGTGCCAGAACCACACTTGCCACTGGATTGTCTACAACAATGCGCCTGGGTAGAGCAAGATTTTGATGATACCAATATCAGCGTTCACGAATGCTATGAAGTTTCTTAGCATGTATTGGATATGCGTGTAAAATGTTCAAGGGACAAGAATGCGGGAGGCCAGTAGATGGACGGATATGGTGAGAGCCATGGGACCCATGTAACGGCTTGCTAGGCCACTGGAGGCGCAACAGGTTTCCCTATAATTTGTACATCCATCTCTCTACCGCCGATTTTGAGGATATGGTTTGGGTATCAACAGTAAGCATGAGCTTGTCACATGGAAAGTATGTTTTACGGTCATTTTATTAACTTTATCATTCGGTACTACAAGTCATTAAACAGCCGTCATGATCGTGTTCCGGCACTGGTGCTAGAAGTCGTTATTGATACAAAATGAACATGATTAAACAGAAGTCGGCACACCCATCTCCTAGTGACGGTGAAGCTTGGCCTTGATCTTGTCCTTGAGGCTTTCCTTCTCCTTCTCCGTGCCAGTGCCCGTGCCAGTGCCCGTGCCAGTGCCAGTGCTGGAGCTGTGAGATTCGCTCGTCTTATCACTGGTCTTGTCGGCGCCGGACTTGGCCGATGCCTTGGCTGCCGCATGGGCGGGATCCTTCTCATCGAGGAGGCCTGGACGAAATGTCAGTTAATACTGTCACCACCGTGATTCAAGAGGTCTTCACTTACGATCTGCCTCACGACCGGCGCCAGGCTTCGTCGCATCAAAATCGCCGCCATCAGCAGCCAGTCCCGTAGCCTTTACGAGCTTCTCGCCCGTACCCTCCTCGCCGTGACTGGCATTAGGATCTTCCTCCTTCTTGTCTTCGGTGTCAGTCTTGGACTCTTCGCCTCCGATGAGGCCACCCTTCGAGGATCCCTTGACATTTCCAGCATCACCCCCGCGTTCCTTGGCCACAGCCTCCAGGGGCCTCGGCCCCGGACCGTCAAGCTTGTCACCGCCAGTAGTCGGACCGGACGCATTGTTGTTGACATCTTGTCCCTTGGGCGCTGGGTCGGTGGCCGGGTCACTGGGGGCGCGCGTCTCAGTCTTGCCTGCGGCGCTGTCGGCCGAGGGGACCTCGTTGGGTGATGTGTGCTTGAGCTCGGGCTTGCCAATCTCTTCCTTGTGCTTCGGGGACAGCTCCTCTGTCGCCTTGTGCGTTGTGGATTCCTCGGTAGCACGCGACCTGTCGGTCAAGCTGTGCTCCTTTCCGTTCTCAGTACCAGTCGTACCAGCCGATGCAGTGCTTGTGGTTGGGGCAGTGGTAGTAGATAGCCCAGTGGTTGATGTTGCTGTTGATCCAGTCGCCGGCTCGGAGGTGTGAGCATCAGCCACGTTGACCTTCTTCTCCTTGTTCAAAGGGTCTTCTATTTGGAAGTCAGAATTGAAGTTATATGAAGCCACGGTTCAGAGCCGATGCTCCATGATGATAGCATACCGATGTTGCCAGCGTCGTACGGTTCACCCTGGTTGGTGTTACCCTTGACACCAGAGACAGGCTCTTGGTTGGCTTCGTTCGTTCCCCAGATGGCCTTGCTCGCCGCGCCCGCGATGTTGTTGATTGTCTCCATATTGGTCGGCAAGTACTGTGTGTTTATGTGAAAGTCTTTGTGTTTTGTAATTTGCACGATTGGTTGTGTATGCAGTCCTGACTGGTTTGGACACTGTTGACGATTGTTTGCTTGTTTTCTAGATGTAAGTGACTATTCCAAGAGGGCGGGGTGAGATTGGGCAAAGAGGTGTCTTATAAGGTAAACTTGGGAGGCTTTGAATAGCAAGTTGGTGGCCTGCAGGTCTGACGTCTTTTGGGCTTCGCTTCTCCCCGCCTGCCTCCGATAGCAAACACATCACAATGGCATACCTGGACGGCTGGGGTGGGCACGCAACGGACTGGATGGCCAGGTACGGGGTAGACAAGTACTTCTCTGCCCTCCGGGAGGGCAGGAGACAATCGTGGTAACGTAACTAACGGGTACGACGGCTCGAGACAGAAACAGATATATCTTGGCCTTGAATTGTCCCACTATCTCATCCTGCTGGACTCGCTAGCGGCACACGTATGCCTCGCAGCCAATGGATTGCCCAAAGTGACGCGAGAGAATAGGAATGAGGGGTCTGACCAGGCTAATGCCATTGTTATCCAGGCATGTACATCCTAGCAGCCACACCTTGGTTCTTGTGTGGGAGGTATCTCTGCCGCACGTAAGAAACGAGGAAGAAGAGAAGGTGGCTTGGACATGTCCAAAGCAAGGCAGGGCACGACATGCTAGAACAAGTGCAAATGAGCTCATCTGCGACGTTGGATTGGCTGGTAGTAGCCCAGCACGGAGAGACTAGACGAGATCACGTCAAAGCTGGCGCAAACGGACGAGCTGCGGTGGCTCCCGATGTTGCACATGTAGGGAAGACCAGCCAACGAGCGGGCCTGGAACTAACGAGTTGATTTGCAGCGGTCGTCATCTTGCCCACCAATTTGCCAAGTCAACACTGTGTTGCCTGCATCTACCTTAGTTTAACGGGGAAGGTAAAGGGCGGGATCTGACGATCAGCAGCCGGCGGGGTGGGTGAGCCTGGGATGCAGAGGAAGCTATGACGTTGGGCGCGGTTGGAAGTGCAGTCACGGGAAACCAGGCCGGGTGGGAAGCAGCAAAAGGTGCGATTACGTCACTGCCCTGGGCTCTTTTGATCTCGGAAGGTGCCCACGAATAACCGCTCCCAAGGTACCACTTCAGAGGTCTCGACGCTTGGACCTCGGGCGCAATTTCGTAGAAAAGCATCTCAGTGTCTACTGGAAATATCCACGATAACTAATGATTATCTTACAGCATAAGAAGAGAATTGGTTGATAAGGGAAAGGTAAGCTTTGTATAGCACGCATTGGTAGCATAATTGATCCACCTCACCCACCAACATGAGGCCCCGGACACGCCATCCTGCAAAATGCTCCGTACTCTCAAAGCTTGGCCTTGGCTGTCAAGATGTTCCTGGAAATGCGCATGTCACTGCTTGCAATATGCGACGGTGAAGCTGTCTCGCCAGGACACTAGAAGGCCGTAGCTCCTCTTTTCACATGCAAGCCAAGTCGGGACGCCGATAAGCTAGAAGTCGAGATGAAGAAATGGACCGAAGAATGACCAATGGCCCATGTTCGCACACCATGGCGTCCCGGGAAGAAGCGCCGAACCTCATGTTGACGCTCCCTACTTGTGAAGCTACAACAACGTCGTACGGGTAGTCTGTAGGTAAGATTCCGTTATAACCGGCCTCAACAAATGCGACGGACTAACCCGGGCCGAAGAGGGAGGATGGGTCCCGATGGGTGGGTGGGTGGGGGGGGGGGGGGGGGGGGGACCGGCTCGATTGCAGTCCGCTCCGGCGAAGACCAACTTCGGAGCCGTCTCCGGAATCACAACACCGGAGAAACAGGAAGGGAGAAATTTAGTGAGATAAGGCAGCAAGTGTGTCACTTGCGATATCTCTACCACTGAGTGGGTGGGGGACACGACCTCTGGGTGTCTGAAATGGTAGGGCCTGCCAGCGGTCGAAATTGTTCCTCGTGCAGCCATTCGCTCAGGTAACTGGTCCAACGCCCTTTCTTCTCAACAAGCTAAAATGGCTGAGGTAAGCGTATCACCGGTCACGCTGACGCTGCGTCGCCCGGCATGTCATCAATTGCCGCTCCCTCCAGAAGATATATACCGTTATCTACAACTTCTAAACCTCAGGTCTTTATTGTACCTCTCGTTGCTTTCTACAACTCGTGATATACCTCGAATGAATGGATCCATATTCACAAATCAAAGTCCGCCCTGGCGCGCGGTGATTTAGCATCATTTACCTTTCTATCTTGCCACGAACTTCGATATGCTTCTCACATCACCTACCATTTTTGGGCTATGCTGGCTGGTGGGAGCTAGGCTAATCTCCGCCGTGCCACAAGTCTTGTCTCTTGGAGACTATTCTGGAGACCAGCAAGTACTGCTGTCTTCCGACAAAGGCATGCCTCCCAACATCTTTACAAATACCATAGCTTCCCAAACGGTCTAATGAGACTTTCAATAGCGCGCTCGCCTGATCACTTCAAGAACTCGCTCTGGAGCGGCCGCAGACAGTCCCAACAGCCGCCTGGTTTCGTTGCGTTCGGTGACTCGTATAGTGCCGGCATCGGTACCGGCGTTGACGGCGTCGAGGACGACTGCAGGCTAGGATCCCACGCATATCCAGTCTTGATCTTCACCGACCTGGCTGATAGCCAAGTCCCAGGAATAGTAACCTTCCAGTTCTTGTCTTGCACCGGGTCGACCACCAGCAATGTTCTGTCGGGCGGCGATCACAGCCAGGTTGACAAATTCAACAAGTCGATCAATGCCGACTTCGCGGTACTCTCTATCGGAGGCAACGACCTGGGCTTTTTCTCCGTTATGAATGCTTGCATATTCCGCTTTTACAGCTTCAACTCTGGCAGTTGCGAGACAGCACTGCAATATGTAACCGACCAGATCGAGAGTTCGGATTTCGCGCAGCGGCTGGAGATGGTCATCATGGAGATACTGGACACGGTGCAGTGGGAGAAGCGGCCGTGGTTCATCATTACCGTGACCGGCTATGCTCGATTCTTCAGCGTAGAGACTGATGAGTGCGACAATTGTACTCTTGGTGTCTGGTGGCAGGGACCAAAACTCAAGAAGGACGTACGTCAGAGGATGAACGATATGGTCGTGGCAGTCAATGGGAAATTGAGGAGTTCCATCGAAGCCGTCAACTCAAGGTTTACGACCCCAAAGGTTCTGTTCGTCGACTACGACGCCAAGTTCGAAGGGCATCGTTTCTGCGAACCAGGCGTCATGGAACCAGCGTACAACAGGACAGAGACTTGGTTCTTCCTCGTCGGAGGTAAAGATAACAACCCAAATGTAACGGATCCGACGCCGGCCCCGAATCGCACGATAGTGGGCACCGAGGGTAGTGCGAGTAGCAAGACCTTGTCTCCATTGTCACCACTCGCGGACCCGGAGACATGTCTGGGCCCGGCCGAGAGATCAGGAGACTGGGGCCTGCTGGCTCTGTGTTACATGGCGAGGGCTAAACGCGACTACCCATTACTGCAATTTGCCGCGGAGGATGTCATGATTCAGAATTCCATGTGGTATGTGCCAACATATTATGGGAAAACCTTCCATCCAGTAAGCTTTCGCTCTTCCAGTTTGACAGCCGGTCCTGAAACTGCAGCTGATAAAACTTACAGAGAAGCCTCGGCCACGAGGTGATTAGAGACGAAATCTACAGGATCTGGTCGCAACTAGATACAGCGAGGTAGAACTCAAAGGCATCAGTTTGCGGACTGTCGCCTACACAGGACATCCCCGGAAAGAGCTCATGAATGAAGGGCAAACCCTATTCTTGTCCATCAGATGTCAGGTAACACCACTCGCTTTGCTTCGCACAGGACAAGCTACCAAAGGACCGCTCTGTCGGGGAATATACGGTTGACTCAATGTCGATCATTCCGACTTCATCCCTACCCTTGGATATCGTACCCGTTTTTCATAGGACGAGACTACTGCAGTATACGCAGATGCAGGGCCACGTCTGCTTCTCACCGGACCCGGGTCGGGGAGATTGTCTGCTCTGGATCGCGGGTTACACCGAAGTTCCGCACGAATGCCTCGGAGAGAGACCGGGGCCCATGCTGCAGGGAAAGGTGGGACATTGGTCCCTTTTGGGTGAGTGATACACCCGTTTGGCGGGGTTATTCTCTTGGCCCGGAGAAACTTTCGGTAAGATGGATAGAATGCCATGACAGATACTGTCTGATTTTCATGTTCTAATTTACTGAGCTGCAAGCGTGACAAAAGAGCTGCTGTCTGGGTCTTTGAGGTTAGCATCTTGAGTGAAATCGAAGTTAAGGTACACTCTATGGGGGACCTGTGAAGTTTGGACGGGGTATGCGGAGGAGCCTCCGAAAAGTGTCTTACGGCCCATCCATTAAAATACTACACAGCCCAATAGACAAACGACGGCTCACAGAGAAAAGTGGACGGCTCCAGGATCGTGGAGCAAAAATTATATTCCTTTACGGAATACTCCATACTCCACCTCAATCATTTTTGGGCTACTGACTGAGCGGTGCCGTTCCGACTTCTCATCCATCTAAAATCGCCGCGAACATCGCCCCGAACCCAACTTATCAAATGTGAGATGATCTATCCCAGACCTAGTTGACGGCTATCGTACCCCTAAAGTCTCCGGTCGGAGCAACTAGCCTGGACACAGTGTATAATTGCGGTTCAAGTAGGAATATATCGAGAATCCAGCGACGTGGATGGGCAAAAGGGGGGGGGGGGGGGGAGAAGACTCGCGGCAGGCAAAGCATGCCTGTGACACATGACTAGGCTGTATCAGTGATGCTTACGGAGCTCGCGGAGTAGGTACGTATGGTTTCTTTTGGTTCCAATGTCTCTTGCACTGCATGCCAAAGTCGGGAACGGTCCTACACTTTACCCAACTCAGAGCTGGGCCATATCGGGGTCTCGGGTCTCCGCCTTTGAGCTTCATCATTAATAATTCATACGTTTTGCCACACGATACATCTCTACGGCTGCAGATGAGCATCCTAGACAGTACCGAGTCTGGAATAACGGCCGTTGATGATTCCAAACTAACCCTGTCAAGAGTTCGCCAGTAGCGGTGATCCGTAGCCACCAGCCGGGTACCACCAGATTTGCAAGTGGCCTTCGACCTGTGATGTATCCGTACTTGGCGATAGGCGGTGTCTTCACATTAAGGCAAGTATGGCAATGAATCTATCACTCTGCCAGCCAGAGGCTCTCAGCTGTGCCCGATGAAATTCCAAAGACAGTTCTGTTCCGTAATTACATCGTCACCACTTTGAGTCTTGAGATGTACCTGAGGAGATTGTGGTTGTATACTGCAGTAACCAGCATTGGACTTGAGATTGTAGGCATGCAGACACAGGCACACCGGCACACAGGGTATTACGAGATATCCGTAGAGATGGGTCATTGGTTTGTGCTGCATGCCTACTGTACGGGCCTGCATGTCGCACACCCAACCCTCGGCCGTGACAGCATACTGGTGTAGCACAACCCCGATGCGCGGGCAACGAGTTCGAACTTCTGAGTTCTCGGCGGGCTACCTGTGGATTCGCGCCGTAGGGGAGGCGGAGGGATGCCGATGGGCGAGCCGGGGTGCCAGAGAAGGGGACCCTGATGATTGATCGAGATTGGGCCGTTCATCTTGATAGCCCACTTTCTGACGGGAAACGGAGAACTGCCCAGGCAGCACGGGCAGCGATTCTCGGGAATAACCTGCCTCGCTGTGGCACACACCGTAGGTAGCCGTACCTTGTACCCCGTACCTGGTTGAAGTATGCTTGCTTAGGTAGTCTCCGAGGTGAAGACTGTTACTTAGAGTACTAGGTAGTCACGTATGGCTATGTGAATGTGCTGGTGCTGAATAGCAGCCATCGTCAGCACGGTCACTTATTCTATCAGTAGTGCTTTGTTGATGCACCTACCAATCACCTACTTTATCCAGATGTTATGGTACAGCACCTCACTTGCTATTGAAGGGGACCATTGCCGCACGGCGCCGAGTAAGGCACAGAGTTGCGGCCCCCGAGACGCGGCTTAACCGGGGAAACGTTTCCTGCGCAAGCGCTATTCGAATAGGTACAGGCACGCACGCAAGGTAATGGCCGCCGTCTGTCACGGTTTCATTTGTAATGCAGCAAGATCTGCGTCGTGTTGATTGGAGCACCAGAGGGGCCACGCTAGGAACTTGCCGCTGGCACCCCACGCACGTTTTACATGGTGATCCAGCGAGGGGGCACGGAACCTTGTGCTATACACAGTACTCCGTAGTATACGTCAAGCCGCGTCTTCATTTTCACCTGCCTAGAGTAGGCGAGTGTTACATATCTTGGCCTTCTTGGAAAGAGTCAGATAGAAGAAGAAGAAGATGATGATGATGAAGAAGAAGAAGCATGGAACGTGCTTGTGTGTTATTGGCACATTTGCCCTTATGAATAACAAGAGCATACTTATTGTATGCCCCAAGGGACTGATTCAGAGTGTTGAGCTAATCACTTGCAGGTTTCTGGACTGCATGGCTGGTTGTTGCACACTGTAGACTAGATCGTCCGTACGTCGATCGAGTCTGCAGTACGGATAATAGGCTGGAGATGTTGAGCACAAAACAACCTACGGTCTACTCTTCCAGTAGAAACCAACACAAGAACTAGGTTCCTCCAAGCTCGATCTAACGTGGCATACCTTGGGCTACGGGCACCTGCGTCAAATATTCATGTCGATGGCCCGAGCCCCACGTCATCAACGTCAAAACGAACAATGCCCAAGCTTATCTTACGCGCACGAGTCGACGTGAAGGGCAGTGCTCTGTGGCTCACAACGTTAGCCCATGACCTAGAGGCAAGAGATGATGACTACCCGTTCTTACTCTACAGATAGAGTACGATGATGGTGAGAGAATCCAACACCTTACTGCAGCCCGTCTGTGATCGACCGACCTTTCGGAAACTTTACAGTCCTTCTTGGAGAGTACCTTACCTGGGTTATGGCAATTACTACCTTCCTTACGTGCCTCATGAATACATTACACAGCATGTCGGTGGCTCAAGCGATCTTTCCTTGTACGGCATTATAGAGGGCCAGTCAATTGAGCCAAGCAACATGGGGTCCTACCAAAGTACCGAATACAATGAATGCTCACTGACGATGGTTTGGGGTCCTTGGGATCGGGTGACATGGGCAAAGACTGGGGCGGGATTCGATGACAGATCCTGCTGCATTCTCCTGGAGCTTTCTAGGTACCAAGTCCGAGCTACTCAGTACACTACCTTCCACTGATGCCCACGCTGCCACGCTGCGTCTGAAAGTGCGAACTGTGCGAAGCAGCGAAGGTTCAGTCCCCAAGTCTCCAACATCACTCTAGGAGTCCAGTCTCCCTGACCCCTTCCTTACTCAGCCTCTCCCACCGGCCACCGATCGACGAGTGGACAGGTACCTATTCGTACGTCCATTGTTTGATTATCAATTAACTTTGGTTAGGCACCTTGCTTCATGTTGTCTTGCCGCACAGCCTTTGCCTCGTACAGGCGCAGCGAACGTGCTAATGCAAAGCTCTGACGTCTGCGGTCCGGACCCCTCCCTCCCAGGTCTCCCCTTCCCCAGCGTTGGGTCTGCTGCTGGAGTAGCATAACTCGCCCTGTGCTAGGTATCCCAAAGGTACGGTTACTTGAGAGGGCGTTGCTTTGCTTTGCCTACCTTAGCGTGAGGTACCGTAGAATTCCGGTACGGAAACGCGTCTCTAGGTAAGGTAGTGTACGCACATTTACAATACTTCTACCTTCGCTTTCTTCTCATTTGTCCACTCGCATTTCCCTTCTCGTACCTTGCCTCAATTTCCTCCTGTTTATGGCCATCCATTCAACCCACTTACCCTCTCTAAGCCTGGTCAATCACAGTCTGGAAGAGCTAGTCACAGAGCCGGAAAACAAGACACTCTAAAAAGCCTAGAACTCAGACTCAAGCCTTCCGCCCGCCCTGCCTTACGGGCTTCACAAGCATTGACGATTCAGCTGCTTTGTCCCACCCCCGGCCCTAGTGTCATTTGGATCCGCGACGGGAGCTTCCAAGCCTGCGTCGCCTGCGTTCCCCCCTCTCTCTCACTGAACTTAACTAACGCCTTTCATCCCGCATACGTAGGGCTCAAAAGTCTCAGTAGTACCTACCTACCTACCTTACGGGTAGTGTTGTTCCTCGTGTCTGTTCTCCCCTTCATCTTCTGCTGCTCGTGCTCCGCGCGAACTTAGTGCAAGGTTGGGGACAGCTCCAAAAACCTCCACTCAGCAACCCCCCAGTACTTTACTACTAGACGCACCGGCCGTCCTTCTTTCCTAGAAGACTTGTCGCAGTCCATCTATCCATCTTTCCTCTCGCCTCGTCCACCGCCTGCAGTTCGCAGCCTTTTGGTCATCCAACGCCGGGCATATCCGGAAGACATCGGTTTACTGAGCGTTCTTGTCGAGCTCCTACAGCCTCTTTCCCGTCCTGATTCTCTGCCCGCGGGGTTGAGGAAGCGGGATTCGGATGGCATCACGCTGTGTTTCGAACGACTCGTGATGGACCAAGTGCCCCGGCGCCCAAATCTCCTGCTTACATATCTTTTCAACAAACAACTCAAGCCAACTACACGAACTCTTCTCTGATCCCGCGGTCTTACCAGGCCTAGGTAATCCAAGAATCCAACTCGAGAATGGTCTACTGCGGCAAGGCCTCTCAGGGCTGTCAAAACTGCCGAACCCGTCGCATTAAGGTGTGTAGCATTGATCCCCTCAACCCTCTGAGCGGCTATTCTGAAGAAGGCTCTGGCTTGGCTATTCTACTCATCAACTTCGTTGCTGGGCAAAATCGACCAATACAGGACCGTGGTTGACAAAGCTCCTCCTTGTAGTGCGATAAAGTGAAACCCGAATGTTCACAGTGCATCCGCGTGGGCAAGAAATGCCCTGGGTATCGAGACCAACTCTCGCTCATGTTCCGCGATGAAAGCACCAAGGTTATCAAAAAAGCACACGCTCAATGGGGAGTTACCGATGGTGCTGAGAATGGTGCTGAGCGCGCATCGGCCTCAACAGCTCCGTCACCACCTGCTTCTTCGCCCTCTTACAGCCGGAAGGGCTCGCCCAATAGTACGAGGTCTGCATCACGACCAGGAGCTGCGAACGTACCTTCGCCAGCCTCAAGCTCGGCATCCTTTTCCGCCTCGCCTTCATCAACGTACCGTTCTGCAGGCTCTTCATCACCACCAGCACTCTCGGCTGTCAAGGAAGAACACAACCGCGAGACCAGCCCTCCGACACTCCAGATAGGTCCTACCCTCGAGGAACAGGGCGTACAATTCTACGTCAATAGGTACTTGATAGGGCATCCAGATGAACCCAAGAACGGTCAAGACCTGAACACGGAGGGTTGGATATGGCATCCAGCAGTACAAGACGTCATGTGCGCTGTAGGTCTTGCTGGCCTGCACAACCTAACTGGCAACGCCAAAATGATGTCGACTGCGCGAGAGAAGTATGGTTCAGCACTACGACATACTGGAAAGCTGATCCGGCCTCCGCATACACCGAGCATAGATGTGACGATGAGGGCCGTGGTGGCCCTCGCCATGTTTGAGGTATGCCACCCAACTCTATTCTCGATACTAGGGCCACGCGTCTTTGGCTGATGCTGTCGTTCACATGGGCTAATCTGGTTTCTCGTCGATACAGGTTGTGAAAGGAACGCATCATTCCACAAGCACCGTCCATGCCCATGTTATGGGCGGGGCTGCGCTGATGAGAAGCTGGTGCCCCATGCCTAGTGCTCCTTTTGCAGGCTTCAGAGCCTTACTGCAGCTGTGCTACTCGATGGTAGAGACCGCTCCCTTGATTTGATTTGCTCCGTGAAACTGACTCTTTCTGTAGTTCATACCTCTACACGTTGCCGGCATGCCCATGCCACCGGACTTTTACGACTGGGTTTCCTACGGTTCGGAACTCCAGCTGCCCATCGATCGACCATCCACCGACCTAGCCGTTCTGATTGCTCGATTCGTCGAAATTTCGTCAATTATTCACAACCATGTCATAAGCGACGGAAAACCAAAGACGGCCAGCATTATTCAGCAGCTTCTAGATCTTGATAATGACTTGGCCTCGTGGGAGAATGGACTCGAAGGAGATTGGATTTACCGCACCGTCCACGCCACCCATCTCCCCCCTAAGGCAGTATTCCAGTGTGAGTACCACAAATACCACGACGTCTGGACCGCTCGAATCTGGAATTACTACCGATGGTGCAGGATTCTGGTCAACCAGAATTTGCTGGATTTGACGAATAAGAATCCCGTTTCCAGTTTATCGCTTGTATCAGCGGCCGCGCGGGACGAGTTTCTGAACGTAATTCGACAATTGGCGAGGGATATACTTATTAGTGCGCCGACACATTGGCGACACCCGGCTCTAGACGGACCGGCTCAAATAACAGTGGAAAGTCCCGGCGGAGGAGGAGCTGGATCAGCAGGACTGCCGGCATTGCTATTCCACCTCAAAGTGGCGGGCTGCGCTCCTGGAGTGCCCAAAGACTACTGGGAATGGGCGTTGGGAATCATCCAAACAATTTGGGGCGACATGGGGATGTTGCACGCACGATCGATGATGGAAGCCATGCGAGCGCACGAAGATACGGTGCTGAGAACTGGCGCAGCTGGGATACTGGCAGACGACTGGTAGACAGGGTCATAGGACGGAAAAGGGAAACGGCGCAAAGGGGTCAGGGAAATCAGGATGGTTTTTGGTCTTGACGATTTAGCAAGGGTCCGGAGCAGCGGCCAGGTATGGCTGGGTGATACCATCGGTTTTGGGGCAGGTTTTTGTTCCTCCCGAAATGAAAAAATGACATGGCAAGCTGAAGGAAGTTGTGGCGTGATGTATATCCGAAAGCAACTTCGTGAGCAGCAGGCCAAGTGTTGAGATGAGTTGCAACCGTTCCTGATGAGGTAGTTACGGCATAGCCACTGATTTTCAATGCTATCGGCCCTCGGCTTTTGATGATACCTTCCAGTCCATTGTGCTAGCGGCATCCTCCACGATATATTCTTATAATGGTAAACGAGGATGACTTAGAAAGGGTTTGTGCATCTGAATGGAAGTGAGGAACGCTGTTCCGATATCTGATATGTCAGCAGTGCGCATTACGATATGTACAGTCTGCTAGCACGGTAGACCGGGGAGATGACCTATGAGCTCTTGCATGTGGGGACCCGAGGCTTCCACGCGTGACCTCCACTGGGACAGCCCCCATCTTCCTACCTTACCGAACCAAAGGCGACCAGACAACGACATTCGACGGCTACGATAGGGCCAGGGCGCGGCGCATCGCAATTATTTCATCATCCATCATATTGCCTGCTATCGGATGAGACGCTCGATATCTCTCTGAAGTCTTCTGCCATGAAGTGACACTGACGGGCAGAGTTTCATCGCCGGACATTGATATCTCGCGTCTCCGTCGCCAAAGTGGCCCATCGCAACATCACCACCCTTAGAGACCCCTCCATCGCGATCGCATCGCACTTGGCCGCCATCACCACACCAAACCACCTCACCAGGCGCAAAAGTCTACAGACACGATGGCCGCCGTTTCCGACTCTAAAAAGAGTAATGCGCCCGCTTCCTCTTACTCTTGCGTAGCTGTACACTGACCACAAACTTGCGCCTACAGACGACGAGCAGACGATCAAGGTTGCATCGAAGAAGGACCCCAAGAACAAGCCCGACGGCCCTATCAAGCTCAAGAAACCTGCTCCAAAGTACAACAAGCCTGGAAATTGGAGAGAGGGAAGCATTGTTGAAGGTGAGTCGACTAAATCGCGTAACGGATCCTAGGCTCGGAAATTGACCAATGTGAACACCAGAAGACAAGAAATCAAAGAAAGACGATTCCGCATCGATATCTGTCGCTTCTCCCGGACCCGTCGTTAACCCGCTCGATGACATCGCGCGTGAAGCCTTTGCTACCGGCCGACCGCTGGAGGATACCCCGGACCTACAACAATGCAAGCACTGCAAGAAAAGCATCCTCAAGACAGCCGCCAAGGCCCACATCGCCGCTTGTCTCAAATTGAAGAAGGAGAAGGCCCAGCGGAAAAAAGAGGCGAGAGAGGCGCGCGAGCGGGCCAAGGAGGCTGCACGTGAAGAAGAAGCCAGAAAGGCAGACGAGGATCCTGATGGCAAAGGCGATGATGATAGCGACGGTGATGAAGACGGCGAAGGCAAAAAGGCCACCGGCAATAAAACTGCAAAGAAGACAGGGGGAAAGAAAACCGATGGTGATACCGGCAAGGGCAAGAAGCGCAAGGCAGACGGAGACGCAGAGAAGGGGCCTAAGCAGAAAAAGAAGAAGGAAGAACCGAAACCAAAGGCCCCCAAACCGAAAGGTATGGAACGTTACTTTACTGGGATTCTCCCCTGGTTTCTAACTATGTACAGGTCCCGTGGACGTCGAACGACAGTGTGGTGTTCTGTTGCCCAACGGGCAGCCTTGCGCAAGATCTCTTACGTGCAAGAGTCATAGCATGGGCGCAAAACGTGCCGTCGCGGGTAGATCTCTTCCTTATGACATGCTTCTGGCGGCGTACCAGAAGAAGAACCAGGCCAAACAGCAGAGTACGTGGCTCCTTGAACAGTTTTCAGGGTGAATTTCACTGACAACGCATGGTTACAGAGGCTGCCCTCGATGCCAATGCTCCACTAGAGGATGAAGATGAAGCCAATGCTGGGCCGGTCGACTCGGACGAAGAGACGGCCGCTGTCATGGGTGCGCTGGCGCACTGGAACCCGCAACCTGTGGTGCCGCAACCAGTACTTATACCCATCAAAAGGCAGTACCAGTTAGCCAGACTTCACGAGCAGCTGCAAATGGCGACAAACGGTGGAAGAACGAACATTTTCAAAGTCGACGGCTTTGGGGCACAGAGACTGCCCCAAGGCCATCCAGGACTTAACGACACGGAGGACGCACCCGGCGAGCTTGACGACGTGAACTTTGGAGGCGCCCGTAGGTCATCTAGCTTCAGCATGCAAAGCCATCCTCAACGACGGCCATCTGTAACAAGCAGAGGATAGTGTGGTGAAGGCTTGGTCGCTGGAAGAAAGCTCGCCTGTCATGGTCTCTAGACAACTTTGCCAGATGGGGCCACTGTTGGATTTTATTCGTGGGATGGAGCGTTTTCCTACAATTTTAACGACAAGGACGGACGGCGTTATGATTTTGGGCGGTATACCAAGTGATCGCAGCTGGGAAGAAGTTGCTTCTCTCTCCCCCCTTTCCGTGTTTCTAGAATTGCTCATTGGGTTCTCTTTCAGCAGCGGCGTTTGGTGGGTTCTGCACTAGGGATCTCTCGCTGCTACCTGTGGCAAGGTAGTAGCGAACGTGTAAACATATGAAGGATGCGTTGCGGATGTAAGACGCAAAGGATGACAAGTTCAAAAAACTAGATCTGCTAGTTCCAGGTCATGAAAGCATAGGTAACGATAATCAAGTTACCCCTTCCCCCGGCATGCCACGGCGAAGAGATGCCATCCCAATCTAAAGTTGCGAACCGTTGATTGTGAGGCACATGAAATTACAGTTTACTGTAGGTATCTAGAGAGCTAGGGTTAGCTGGGGTTGTACATATGGGACGGCCGGTGGGTCTCTTGTTTTGCGCATCCAGAGCTACCCCCGTCTGCGCCGCCGTCTGCGGATTAGCGCCGCTACAACACTTTCACGCGATGATGACGTCGTTGTCGCCAGGCCAGTTTACCCCGGATTTTCGCCGTGACCGCAAGCACACTATCGGCGCCGAGCTGACCTCGGTACTACAGAGCTGCCCCATTGACCAAAGGGGATGCCGTATTCAACCTTCATGCTCATTCATTGCGGCTCTTCGCCACTTACATTATAGACGTCTCGCATTGCATGTTGACTACACAGACCGAAGAGAACAACAAGGATCTGCCGGATTGTGCCGACCTGCAGTATCTACCACTTCGTCGCATTTAGAATTACTTCTGCAAAACCTCTTCTTCTCATAATTGAATCAAGTTGGTTCGTCCTACCAAATCGTATACTACTCCTCCATGACCATGGCGCCCGCAGGCGTTCTCGATGCCTTGGGCCACGCCCTCGCAGGCGCCCTTGGAACTGCCCTCTCGACAGCCGCAGTGTATCCCCTCGACCTCGTCACCACACGCCTCAAAGTCCAGCGGCAGCTGCGAAGCGAGGATGCGATTTCCGAAAAGGACCAATACAAGGGTGTAGTGCAAGCCATGAGAGCCATCACGGCGCAAGAAGGCGGCATATCGGCGCTCTACACGGGTCTCGCCCAGGACGTCTTCAAGTCCATCGCGGACTCGTTCCTCTTCTTCCTCTTTTACGAGTACTTCCGAGGCACACGCCGGCGCTCGCGTGGGAAACGGCTGTCCGTCCTGGACGAGCTGGCCGTGGGCGCATTGGCGGGCGCCTGTGCGAGAGCCTGCACGACACCAATTGCGAACGTGGTCGCGAGGAAACAGACGTCGGCAATGATCGAGGGCAAGGAGGAGGGCGGGGACGCGTCGGTATGGGAGATACTTTCGTCGATCCGCGCAGAAAACGGCGTGGCTGGTCTTTGGGCCGGTTATTCCGCGTCGTTGCTGTTGACCATCAACCCAAGCATCACATTCTTCCTCAACGAAAAGCTGGGAAAGACCCTACTCCCGGACTCGGACGAATCCTCACATAACACGCACACTACGTTCCTCCTCGCTGCTGCGAGCAAGTCCATTGCGACCATTATCAGTTACCCCATACAGACCGCCAAGGCCAGACTACAAATGCGCGGTACTGCTTCGCCGCGGAGGAGCAGCGATTCCCAAGAAAGGCCTTGTCCCGAGGACCTCAGCAAGGAGCCTTCTAGCCCAGGTGCGCTGGCCAAGACTAAGGAGGCGCTTGACAATAGCGTGCTCGCCATCGTCTTGTCCATTGCTAGAACTGACGGAATATCGGCCTTATACGCCGGGCTCCAGGGCGAAGTGCTCAAGAGCTTCTTCAGCCATGGCCTGACCATGGTCTCCAAGGGCGTCATTCACACATTTGTAATTCGCCTTGGTCTTCTGTTGATGTCCTTGTCACGGAGACAGTCGCGCGATGTTAAGTTGCAGCACCTGAGACGAATTTTCCTCAGACTTCGATGAAAAGATTTCTGTTCATTTTCTCGTCGTTCCATGGCTATGATGGTTCAGTGCTGCGTGACTGTCTCTGAGAGCCTACTAGAGCATACAAGACAGGCATGCCAATGACCAGCGTGTTGGCGACGCCATATCCAATTCATATGATCCATGGTAGGCAGGTCATGAGTACGACTGTATTAGCATTGGAAAGCGACGCCGCTCCTCTCAACTTTGCTTGCTCCCCGGGCGGAGAACCCAGTACCCTCGGATCTGAGTTCTATCAGCCCAGCAAATTCCTGTTTAGGCTCCTTCTGCTTGCTGTCTGGGCGGGCCGCGGGAAGTCTTGCATCGCAAACATAGCATGCGTTTTCTTGTGGTGTCATAAACTTCACAGCGCAGTTGCGGCAAATGACGTGGCCGCACTTTTCGGCCATGAGAGGTCGCGAGGCATTGCCGAGTGTCTTGACACAGGACGGGCAAATGCGCCGCCTGGAGCTGGTTTTGGTGTCGAGCTCTTCTTTGAATTCGAGCGAAGTGAGGCTCTTGAGTGAGAAGGAGTGCCGGGAGTCGTCTGCCGAAGCCGGGCAGGTGGGTGCAAGCTTAATCTTTTTGGGGACGGCTGCCAAACCCTCCGCCATACGAGCTGCGTTCGCATCTGGTGTTTGCCCTGGTGTCCAGAAGAACGGTATACTCTCCTTGGATGCCTAGATAGAGTTAGCTTGGCATAGCTGAATAATCGGGATTTAGGGCAGATGGTAGCATGCTTTCTCGTCTTTAATCAACTTTTTGGCCTTCGTGCGATCCTCCTTGGCAATTCTGTCCAACTCGTCCTGGTCCAGCACAAACTTCCTCTTGGTGACCTGAATGTTTCTGGTGGTGTCGGGGCCGGCTCCCTCGTCCTTGGCCGATAGACTGGATGATGTAGATGCCGTTGCCGCAGCCGACGGTTTCAGCCCTGCCTGGATACTTTCAAAGTCCTTGACAGCACGTTCTTGGGCTTCAACATCCTGTTGTGCCTGCACCTCCAAGGTCGCCTGCTCATTCTTCTCCCGAACTTTTTCTTCGCGCTTGATCTCCTTCTTCTGCGCGAGTAGATTGGCCACAGCGCACTCTCGGCAGAAGATGTCGCCGTGACTACACGAGACTGGGTCCCTGGCCATCTCAAGGCAGAGGTAGCAGGAGCCAAAGGGGAGGAAAGAATCCCGAGACAAACGGGCCGAGGTGGACGCCCAAGCAGCCTTAGCCATATCACGTTCATAAGAGGTGAAGACGCTCCGCGACGTGTTTCGTTTGCCTAGAGGTAGTCAGTACCATGAACAAATGCACATGAGGGGATAAACTTGAAGGTTGAGGCTTACTGTGTGCCATGGTGTTGATTGTGACAAGGAACTTGGCGAGACAGACAAATGCACCAAAGTTGAACAAAACAAGAAGCGTGGTATGAACGCTCTGTTGTTCGATGACTTTGGGTTCACGAATTGATTGGTTTAAAGGATGAGGTGGTGGATTGTGAAGTAGTCAAGGAGGTACTTCGTATTAAAGCAAGGTCACGAGATAGACGAGTAGGTAAGGAATTTGAGGCAGGTCAGGAAACCATTGTCCAGGCAAAGCAGAAAGACATCTCGAAGTGACAGGGAACATGGTCCAGGCGCTCTGAGCCATATCCGCGGTACGGATACATATGCACGTATCGAGCGCGTCTACCCTCTTAGCGAGATGATTGTTCTATAGCGACCCACTCTAATGTAAGGCAAAGACAGCTTTTTTTTCTCGATTCTCGTCTTGGATCCCAATCGACAGCCAAACTCGGAGTGCCAATGGCCGATACAATCTTCTTCTTACTGTGCATACACAGCGTGTGAATTTTTTATCAATTACCTTTCCTAATCACGTGTTTGTCATTGGCCCGAAGAGGTGGGTTTATGACGCGGTTGATTCGCTCCAATCACCGTGTCATCTACTGTCACCCGGTCACTTTCATCCCTTTCTCTCATTTCACCAGTCCGGGCCGGCGAGGTGGAGGACCGTCTTCCCGCGCGTCACACTCGTAGAAAAGAAACATGACGGCTTTGGAGGAGAGGCCAAGTGAGCCAAGCCTATCATGGCGGATGGCGTCTTCGGCTATAATGGGCCTTACTGGTGCCATTTCTCGAGCCTTCTTATACACCTTTCATGACGTCCAGACAGAGAACCAAGCTCGCTTTTTAGAAGTTCTGGACAAGCGTCGAGCCGAGACCCCTGAACGTGGTCTCATCACTGGTACTTTATCCTTGTTGTATTCTCTCAAAAATGATGAGCTTATAACTGACAACTACGGATTGCAGTCTCAAATCACATCAGCGTGTAAGTTTTTTTTCCGGTTTTTTTTTCCTCAGTAGAGACCCGTCTCTCCGAGCTGATGAGTCTTGAACCAACAGTCTAGATGACCCCTTAATATGGGGTGTGCTGCCGCTCAAATATAATATGTACCCCCTGAGTGCGAGATGGGGTCTGGGTGCTCATGACATCTGCTTCAAGAACAGGTAAAGACTACCGATATTTCAAATGGACATTGAGGGCCCTCCCCTGACAAAATTGCAGCGCTTTCAAAACATTCTTCACCCTCGGCCAGGTCTTGCCGACATATCGCTTGCTGCACTCTCCCTATGGCGGCTTATTCCAGCCTACTATGACCCAGGCGATCCGCTTAGTATCCGGCCCTGGAGCACTGTTCCCCTTCAAAGCCGCCTTTGAAGCTGGAAACAACGAAGTGTTTTCCGCGCCCACTTACTACAGAAGCAAGCACGGCGCGTGGGTTCACGTGTTCCCCGAAGGCTGTACGCATCAGAATCCCGAACGGACCCTCCGATATTTCAAGTGGGGTGTGTCCCGGTTGATCCTTGAATCCGACCCGGCTCCCCAGCTCGTCCCCATGTTTATCGACGGATTCTCAGACATCATGCCAGAGGACAGGAAATGGCTGCGATTTCTCCCACGCATCGGTGCCAAGATCCGTGTCTTTTATGGCGAGGCTCTCGAAGTGGGCGAGGCCTTCAGAGAGCAGCGTCTAAAGTGGAAACGCATCGTGCAGAAAGAAGTGGAGGCCCGAGGCAAACCGTTGAGCGTCGGCGAAGTACCAGAGTCCCTGAAGAACCATCCTGAAGCGATTCAGCTGCGTATAGAAGTCGCTAAGACTGTCAGAGATATGGTACAAGAGCTGAGGATAAGTGCGGGATATCCTCGTGACAACCCGGCATACGCTCTTGCTGAGACATGGGAGCGGGAACCCAAGGACAAGCAGTTTAAGAGTCCTGTAGATGACAGCCTGGTCAACAAAGAATAGCGTCACTTCGACTTGGATGGTGGCTCATGGAGGGCACGCCATATGTACAATCTTCTACACTTTGTAAATATACAATAAGCGGAACTCTTGGATTGCATTGTTTACTACTTGGTTGCGAGTGATACTCGCGACTGTCATAATCACTCTCGATCCCGCAACGATCCCGCATACAACGCCAAAAGAAGCGAAGTCCTCAGTAACGCCCGCAATGCCCCTTTGGCAAAGCTTGCCAACAATGCCATACCCCCCACCATGAAGTTGCCACACATCGCTGCCGATGCCAATAGCGCATAGCAGACACCCGTTGCTGTAAAGGCATAAACCACATATGCATGCGGGCGCCTAGCCACGGTTCGAAGCTCGAGTTTCAGTAATTTTCGTAAGACCCTTGTCCCGGGTAGGCTCTAGCTTGTGCTTGCAAAGCTTGCTGCTGATGCTGTTGCATGACGATATCGTTGAACCAGGGATGCTTGAGGGCTTCGTGAGCACTGATGCGAAGTTCGGGGCGTAGCTGAAGCATTCGCTGGAGCAGATCGATGCCAGTAGGGTCGATCTGAGGAAGAATCTGACGAAGGTCTTGAGTGGCGTACATCTGGAAAGTGGGCTTGTACTCGGGGAATTGCGTAATGCCAGTCCAGGTTCGTTCGGTTGGGGTTCCCATGATGCGGAAAATACGAATAATCTGGTCCTCGTTTGTTGTGCCAGGGAACAGTGGTCTGCCCGTGTACATTTCCGCCATGATACATCCCGCAGACCAGATGTCAATGCTGGTATTGTACGTTCTGCTGCCCAAAAGGACATCTGGTGCGCGATACCACAATGTGACCACCTCGTTCGAGAACGTGTTGACGGGAATGCCGAAGGCACGAGCAAGGCCGAAGTCGCCAAGTTTCAATTGTCCCTTGCCGTTAATCAAGAGATTCTGGGGCTTCAAATCTCGATGCAAAACTCTGTTCTGGTGGCAGAAGTCGATGCCTCTCAGCAGTTGATACATGAACGACTTGATCTGGTGAGGCTTGAGGGCACCTCTATCGCCATGGGTGTCCATGTATTTCTTAAGATCTCCATCCATGTATTCGAACACCAACATCAGCTTATTCTCGGTGTGGATAACATCGTGGAGGGCGACAATGTTTTCGTGCTTCAACTCCTTCATGAGCGAGATCTCTCTTATCGCCGTCGAAGGGGTGCCTTCTTCCGAGTCCAAGTGGATTTCTTTGAGAGCGACAAGCTCCCCTGTTTGCCGATTGCGACCTTTGAACACCTACCAATTAATTAGTCAGTCTCTGTGCGTATGAAGTATAGAAGTAAAAGGGCATACAGTAGCATAAGTGCCCTCGCCAAGCTTCTCAAGCTGCTGGAACGAGCTTGGGTGTCTCTTGCCGTCCATGTCTGCTGAATGGAGCTGGCAATGATGTTGAGATTGTAGGTAGTGCGGAAGAAGTTCGCCGTGGCAACGTGGCCAACAAACAAGATTCCGAGGCTCGACTTGGGATCGTAGAGGCAGTCGTCGACGAGGCTGACTGGGAGAGGAGAAAACCGAGAGCTGCGATGCGCGCCAGCCCAAGACGTGTGCTACGATAGGGGCTCGCACAACAAGTAAAGTTGCCTAAAAACTCTGTATCCGGGTTGCTTGGGATGGATGGCTTGCTTTGCGTCCGACAGCTAATGGTATGACCAAGTAATAGTGCAGTACGGATAACCAAGTGTGTGTTCAAATTGCTGTCGGAGCTGAAAGAAGTGACGACAGAAAGTGGTGCGGATGCGGCGTGGTTAGTGTTGGGTCGCATTCAGCCTGTCGGTCGACCTTGCACCTTGCGGAGACTTGAAGAGGAGACCGGGACCCCACCAAGTACTTCCTAATTTTTGCTACCTACCTTATGCCGGTCTAATACATGGTTTCCAAGCTATAATCGAGACAAGAGTACGAGAAATCAACTTGATTCACAGTTCCCAACAAAGGAAAATTTCCCCCCTGGTTATGCTATATAGTGCTGAATTCAACATCGCTTTTTGAACTGCCAACGTGTACCTTTTTTATGAAAGGCTTGGCGCGCGTTAATATTATACCTTGCCTACCTAGGTAGGTAGGGAAAAAAAACGGCTCTCACTTCAGGTTCGGCGTGGGCAAGGGACTGGTGACCGACCAGCTGCTTCCCGTCGCCCCCAGTCTCCATTATCACCCCGCACTAGTACAGAAGTAGACACCTGCTCCACTTGGGCCTCTTATCGCCTCTCCACCCTTGCGGGATGACCTTATCGCCATCAGACCCCTCTCGTCTCGTCGGTCAACGACACGACCGACCTTACCTTATTTACCTACTCTACTCACAATCTCGGCCTGGCCTTCCGTCAACGTTACTAGATGCATAGGTGGCGCTTGAGTGCCCTACTACGAAACCATTTCCAAAACCAACGTGAACCACATATACGCTCCAACTAATAACGATCTGATGATACTATCGCGTCGACATGCGACCCTTAGCTGGATGCGACTCGCTCCCGGGGAATCTCTCCTCAGGTGATGGGGCCAACGAAAAGCTCGCTTCGGCTTCGCAGAGTACCGCCTCACAAATGTCCTTCATCCTCGCCGACGAAGCTACCATGGAAGCCTCCTTGCCATCACATTCCTTTTCTGCTCCTCGGCCGCGCGAACAGCGGAAACAAGCTACCTCCGCGACCCCCGGTGACGGATCAGCGCAGAGACGTGAATCTGGCACAGCTCCACCACCCACTTCGCGTTATACATCATCGTTGCAACCCCATGATGTCGTATCTCATCGGCCAAATTGTACTAGCAATCCATCGCCGGCGTGGATACAGACGTCTCCTCCACCGTCTCTGTCTCAACCTTTGACACCCATACTATATGGCGTATCAGGACCATGCTCCGCTATCAGCAGTTCTTCGTCGCGGCCCAACTCGCTAGCTGGATCGCTCTCCGAATACCAGGAAAGCTTTGTAATGAGTGCCTTCGGAACCTCGGACGCTGGTCGCCCCCAAAGCACATACAGCGGCGAAGTTGCTCAGCAGTTCATTATGCCCACCATCAACGTCCCTAGCCGGAGACCCTTCACAGAAGCTGGGAAGGGCCTTGGTAGGCTCAAGCTACTCGTAGCTGGTAAATCAGGTATTGAATGATCATTTGCTCCAAGAATGAAGCATTCGCTGATAAAATATGTCTTTTCAGGCGTAGGGAAGACCGCTTTGATCCGAACTATAACACAATCTTGCTCGCACATCGTACACGTTGACCCTACTGTGCCAGTGGCAATGGCGTCTAAAGGTTTTTTGCCAGCAAAGACGATACCGAATAGCCCTCCAATATCTCAGGGCACTTTCCAGATCACAGAGACTTTAGCCAGCACCAAGCCGTATCCTTCCTGGTGGAAGGATTCGGCCTTTTTATCCACTACAACTACTCCGACTCAACCAGAGGACACAATCTTAGATAGAAACATCTGTCTGGTTGATACGCCCGGATATCAAGAAACATGTCGCGTATGTCATACAAGCATTCACATCCCTCATGAGACACGAACGAACTAATAAAACCATAGCCAACGGACACTATGTCTCAAATCTCACAATACGTTGAATCATACCTTCAAAAGAGCCGTCTCGACGGTCTAGAAGACCACGATGTTCTGAAAACAATCAGTGGAAGCGGCGGCTTGCTTGTTGATGCAGTGCTCTACATGATTCCCTGTTCAGGTAAGAACTAACGCTATCATGAACTGAAGGCACAAATACTCAAGTCATCCTAGGTCTGTCTGCGACTGATATACATTATCTCCGTCAACTGGAGGCACTGACAAATGTTGTACCACTCATCGCGCATGCCGACACTTTGACATTAGAGCAGACAGCAGCAACTAAGAAGCACATTGCCCAGCAACTTGCTGAGGCTGGCCTCGGGTTGTTCTCTTTCGATACGTCGACGGATGGCGTGGGAGAACAACATATATATGCTGCTTCTAGCGAGTTGGGATCGGATTCAGAGGTCATGGACGCCAGTTTACTCATGAGCTCCGAATATGTGCAACCTTTCGTGCCCTCCGATCTCTCGCAGTTGTTGGAAAACATATTTTGCGTGAATGGCGCAACATGGCTTCGCCATGCTGCGGCAGCAAAGCTTCTGGGTTGGCGCACTCGTCATCCTGGGTCCAGTAACGTCTCCGGCTTCGCCTCAAAGTCTGAAGGCTCGACGGATATGTGGTTGATGCGTCCCCAGGCCGGATCACCGACTCCCCTTGCCATGAGTCGCGCTCCAAACTATGCTACTTGTGATGAACGACTCTGCCGAGTGCAGCTCACGAACTGGGCGGCAGATCTACAACGCAGCTTGGCCAACGAAAAACGGATGCAAGAGTGTAGGGCATGGGAGCAGGCGGCTATGTTGTCGAGGGAAGCTTGGAGAGATGGTCGCTCTGCATCGAGCGGCGATGGCGCAGATATGGCGTTGACGAGAACTAGAGGACGGGGAGAACGTCGGCAGCCCCACCGTAAGAGGAGACACAGTACAGGCTCTGGCCTAGATTGGGGGCTTGTAAGACACCAGGATCCTTTGGGTCTGCTTCAGCTTAATGCCGACTTTAGATGGCAGGGTTGGAAGACGCTGGAAATGGTTGGTGGCATTGGGATCTTGGGAGGTTTGGCGTGGTTGCTTGTTTAGAGTCGCCGCAGTACCGAATCGACAGTGGCATCTGGACATGGCGTCTCACCCGAAATGATGGCAGCTATTGGGCATACATACCCTATTCGGCATTCGTATGGAATGTAGAAATATTATTCACTCTGGGCACCTTAGTTGATGGGATTTCTCGAAGTTATGAGCTGTAGAGATTGCGTGCACTCGTGCTGCTGCGGTGAGATCCGCCCAGGGCCTTTTGAGTCCTTGACAACCAAACATTGACCGGCACACCGGGCACTCAGTGGCCCACTGTCCAGCATCGAAAGTGGGTGGGTCGGTTTCCCTGTCATTCATTGGCTAATTGAGACCAGACTGCCTTAGGTCTGTTCTCCACTGTGCAAACGCGCCTGCTTTCCCGGGCCACCACTTCAACAACGGGACCTTGCCTGTCTACCTTACCTTACCTACCTATCCGTAAGTTGCCTTACCTTACTCAGACCTTTGTGCCTCGCGTCCCAGAGGTGAAAGGTACTAGGCCTCCAGCTGCGAGGTACTTGGTGACCACCCACTTTGGGTTAAGTTATCAAAGCGACGCCTACTCCGGCTCGGTTGTTTTCGCAGTGGAAGCTTCTTCCTTGACAACCTTTTTCTTTCTCTATTACATCTTGTTTTCCTATCCTCCTTCCATCGCCAAGTTCGCCCAACAGTCGCTTCTTCGGCTAGGCCAGTCCTTCTGTGTTTACTTATCGTATCTATCTCTTCCAAAAGCAACAATCAGTCATGGCTAGCGAGGAAAGACCGTTGGGCGTGACGCCGCCCATCTCTACTGCTCTTCCCACGGAGGCGGAAAATCAAGCGAAGGAAATGCTCATGCAAGAGTTGAGGAAGCAGAATACTTTTGAGAGCGCTGCGGATACCGAAAAGAGGCAAGTTGTCGAATCAAGCCCCCGGGCATTCCCGGTCTGTTCTTGCTAACGGTCTGCGCGGTTGGCCATAGATATGAAGTCATTAAGCACCTCGAGCGGATATGCGACGAATTCGTGAAACGAGTGGCCCGGAAGAGGGAGGCAGGCAACGAAGCTCTCATCAGAGACGCTAGAGGAAAGATCTTCACCTATGGCAGTTTTCGCTTGGGCGTCTTCGGCCCTGGCTCCGATATCGACACCCTCGTTGTGGCTCCGAAATACGTCACACGCGCCGACTACTTCGAAATCTTCCCCAACTTGCTGAAGGAAATGGCGCCTCCTGGCTCAATCACGGATATGGCTGTGGTAGCCGACGCTTTCGTGCCGATCATCAAATTCGAGTTTTCCGGTATCAGTATCGACCTGATCTTTTCTCGCATTGCTATGCTTAAGCAATTGAACAAGGACTTCAATGTACAAGACTCCGGCCTTCTTCGAGGGCTGGATGAGGCCGAGCTTCGGTCGCTCAATGGCACACGGGTTACAGACGAGATTCTTAGCTTGGTTCCCGAGGAGAGCACCTTCAAGCTGGCCTTGCGTGCCATCAAGCTTTGGGCGCAGCGTCGGGCCATCTACGCGAATATCATGGGATTTCCTGGTGGTGTGGCTTGGGCCATGCTGGTAGCCCGCGTCTGCCAACTATACCCCAAAGCCGCGAGCTCTGTCATCGTCAATAAATTCTTCCACATCATGCGCCGCTGGCCATGGCCACAGCCTGTCCTTCTGAAGCACGTTGAAGGCGGCCCTTTGCAGGTCCGCGTTTGGAATCCCAAGGTTTGCTTTCCCCACTTCCCTGGCCCTAGCTCCAGATGTGCTAAATCAAGTGCATAGTTATACAAGGGAGATCAGTTCCATCTGATGCCCGTCATCACCCCGGCCTACCCTTCCATGTGCGCTACGTACAACATTACCCGGTCGGCCATGACTGTGATCCAGCAAGAACTCGGCAGAGGATGCGACATTACTGACAACATCATGTTGGGCAAAAGCCCTTGGAGCGATTTGTTTGTCAAGCATACTTTCTTCACCAAGGGATACAAATATTACATCTCAGTCATCACTGCTAGCACAGACAAGGAAGCACACAAGATCTGGTCAGGCTATGTGGAATCCAAGGTCCGTGTTTTGGTTCAAGGCTTGGAACAGCACCAATCGATAGCTTTGGCCCATGCATTCAACAAAGGTTACGAGCGCCGGCACAGGTGTGCGAACGAGGGAGAAATCTCCCAAGTTCAAGCTGGCAGTTTCTCGTTCCTAGCAAAGGACAGCGACGTCCAACAAGAGGACTTTGAGGAAGTGGTCAAGGTTGAAAAGGTTGAAACGGCTGAAACGAAGCCCGACTTGAGCAGCATCCCAGGGTTCAAGACGGAACCCACTGACGACGTACCTGGGCCCAAGACTGAAGAAGATGAGACACAGCTAGGAGTGAAGACGGAAGGGGTCAAGTCGGAAGGCGAAGATTCCAACGCTCTCAGCCAAATTCCGAAGCATAACCCTTATACCGACGTCTTCACCACCACGCACTACATCGGGCTGACCCTGAGCGAAGGTAAGTCCGCTGCCGCTAAGGAAACTGAATCCAAACATTGGCCCTTTATGTTTTTACTTCCAGTCTGGGTCAAAGTAGCATGGAAGCTAATTGTCCAGGCGCGAAATCACTTGATCTTTCCTATCAAGTCGAGAACTTCAAGGCTCTATGTACGCAGTGGGAGAAATACGACGCGGCTCTTAACTCGTTGAATGTTCAGCATGTGCGCAGGTAGGCGATACGGACATGTTCCCTTGGGTGAAATTCGCTAAGTTCAGGACAGCTTCAACCTTCCCGACGACGTCTTTGAACCCAACGAAACGAAGCCTCAGAAGCCTCAGAAGAAGCGTGTCAATCCGAACGCGAATGGCGCGGCTCAGATCAAGAAGAGGAGTGCTTCAGAGGTACTGCACTGGTTTAGTTCACGGCTACGCTTGAGGGCTCATCGCAAGACTAGCGAAGCTTTGGTAAGCGCATGGCTGACACGTCGTATAGGAAAACCAAGAACCACCCGCCAAGCGCCAGCAAGCTTCTGTCACGGCTGCCGGTTGAGTATGGCCTTTTGGACCGAAGCGTCCCACGCCATCGACTCCAATAAGGAGTCATGTCTTGCTGCAACCTTTGTCAGCATTGGTAGCATCTTTTGCCTCTGATCCACTGACTAATAGGTCACACCGCATCTCCGAGTTTGACGTCCTCCAACACGGACTGTCTCGTCCCGTATCAAAAACTGGATAGCACACACCCAGAGAGAGAGAAAGCGAAATAGACGCACCAAAAAAAAAGGGAGGGGGGAAGGGAAATGACAGAAAAAAATCCATCGACGATCTGGCATTTCCCTGATGCCAGTGTATCCGCACTTTACCTACAAGAACCCCCTTCCAAAACCGAATTTTGGGTGGAGATCGCAAAAACAAAAGCAACAACATACCCGGTATGTCTTTGTGGGCTTTGGTAGGTTGCTCGTTCTGGCCTGAGACGAGCGGAGACTACTAAAGAGCATCAGGAACAATACTGTCGCCCGCGAGGATGCGCTTTGGGACACTTACGCTTTGTAATGCAGGGCGGATTCATTTTCTCTGTGCTTCTTTACGCATTCACGGGCAGGATCATTGAGTCAAGGCGAAGCCAGCTGTATACTAGATACCATCGATTTAGAGGATTGACTATGCTTTGTCCCCAACCTTCGCCCTTGCCTTGCTCTGATATCTTGTGACTTCATGAGTGCCAAGGCGACCAGAGGTATCTGTACCTATGTGCCAAATCAACCTATGAGTGCTGATGTAACTGAGGCGATGCAATGTGAGACTTAACATCTGAGGTTTCCTCCATCCTCCAGCCCTTTCGCTTGACGTACTGACTAGTCTCATTTGACTAGAGCTGACTCAAGCTACCTCAATCATCGTCATCATCGCTACCACTCGACCATCCTTCTCGATATGCCTCGGCGAAGTCGGCTAGCTCATTGCTAATGTCTTCTCGGTCCTCCACACCAAGAGAGGATGCGACGGTAGTGCGCAGGGCATTCAGCGCGGCAGACACTGAAGTATCCGTGGAAAGACTGGTCTTGACGCCAAATGAATCGTTCAATGGCTTGCCGCTGCCGTCCAGGTAGATCTCGGGGAAACTGTCGAGCATAGGGAAGCCCCTATCGGTGAGATACCTGCCATCAACAGTTAGTTGTCAAATCACGAACAAGCCTTTGAGAGGATAGCTATGGCTGTATTTTCTGAAATACCTTTGCGTGCTGGTCTCTATGAGCGCAGCCCTTGGCCGCTGCCTGCCATCGCCGCCTTCGCCATCGTCGTGTTCCAATACTTGCTGCGAGCTACGTGTAGTGATTGTCTGCCCGAAAAGGTGAGGCTTGCCGCCTCCGCCATTCATATTCCTTCTTCCAGGAGTAGACTTGGGTCTGAGAATGTCAAACAAGTCCGTGTCCAGCTTGGTTACCTCGCCAGGTTCGTCCTCATCCAATCCTGGCTCTGGTGCGCGGATGTCTTGTTTCGTTTCCGAAGCTGGGTCGACGATGGTCATTTGCAGACGGCTCATGGTCTGTCTGCCGCGTAGATTCAACCCACTCACCAGCTCGCCGAGCGTTGCCTGCAGACCACTGCCAGAGCTGCTTGAGTTGAGCCGGGAAGCGATCCCAGCTGTTTCCATGGCCGTACTCAGCAGGGCCGTGGTTTGCCATGGAGATTGCATGTCGATGCTGATGTTTGGGCTCAACCGTGTTTGGGGGAGAGCCATTGGAACCAGCATCGAGGCGTGCTCACACATGTCCTTGAATGTCCTTGCAGTATTGGCGAGCTGGAGGCGTCTTTGGTCCTGGGGTCATCATTAGCTAGACTGAGGGTGTGGTAAGCGCGCAAACGAATGTTCAAACTTACGATGCGGGCAGCGGGTACAGGAGTCTGCAGGCCCCATACCCAGATCGTAGTCTTGCCATACTCATCCCGCAGACGCTCTACATAATCGGTCGCGAAGCCTCCCCAAGCGTCGTCTATAGTTGTCACGATCTGGAGGCCTTGCATCTGATCGGCCTCCTCTACAAAGGGACGGAAGTCTCGGTCGACAATGTCATGTTCCTTGTCTAGAGAATCGAACAATTCCCTTCCCAGAGACCACTTGTCAAAGGGCCTGATGGAGGAGTTGATCTCATAGTCGTAGAGCTGATTGAGAGACTTTGGGTGGTAGTAGACGCGCGAAAAGTCGGACCAATACCGCACGTCGGAGGACTTGAGCTTCGGTGCAGGCGTGCCGAGGTCAAGACTCTTCTGGTAGGCGCTTGGCTCTACCGGTGTCTGTCTGTGTACTTGCGCAGATCCTTCCCTGAGGTCGACAATGGCATGTTAGATGGCCGGTCTAGGATACTTGAAAAAGCCGACGGCTGGGCCAAACAAAGATGGGCGCGTTACGGACCATAAGTGAGCTGGTGCCTCTTCCTGGCTTGCGTCGTACAAGGCGTTGATCTTGCGAAGCGAGCCGAAGCCGCCCTTGAGATCATAGACGACAGTACGCGGGAGGAAGGTCTCGGAGCCATCTAGGGCCACACCCGGACGCCAGTGAACGTCGTGGTTCACCGGGGACTCGTCCTGGTCAGAATAAGTGAAGTAGGATTCCTGGCAATAGGTTCAGTGTGTGTTTAGAATGAAATGCATGGGGTTCTTCGGTGAGGAAGCTGAACGTCTGAATACCTGGGTGTTCCAGAAATGAGTTGCGGCATAGTTGCTCAACTGGCCTAGCTGGAGAGTGATGATTTCGTGCATACTGTCTTGTTCTAACCTGAATTACCAAGGCAAGCACTCAAGACGGTTTCGTCGGACTGCACCAATCATAGATGGTTCGGCAAGGTGAGCCGGGGGAGGGGGGATTTTTACGGACGGATCCCGACACTGGTAGGGAACGGGACGGGACTTGGACTTTGCAATCTCAGTGCCAGGTCCATTTTTGGCCGTTGAAGTGCGTCAAGTGAATCCGGTAGTGGGGTAGGTGTTGGGCGTGGACCGGGCTTAGGGCGGCCGGCGACGGCATCCGACCCCGTCAGGGAACGGATGCTGATGTACCGTCCCATCTTCCATCTACCAGTGCATGCACTCCGTCTTGCGATACCGGCTTGACATTGATCATTGCTCAGGCGCGATTTCTTCCCCAAACACGACTAGCCATTCATAGATGCCCATAAGCAGACAGGTACTTGATTTACGATCAGCTTGTGAATGAACTAATGGTCTTTACCACCAAGGGCGAAATCATGGTGGTCCTTATTGAAAACAAGGGAGCGTTAGCAGAAACTGAGCTGAAGCACCACCCGCAGGCATCTGGGAAAGTTGACTAGCTTGACTGGCACGCATCCAAGTTGTCTCACAGCACGGAGGATTTTAGATTCCAGCAAAAGGAGGAATACGAAAATGGCAGCAGACATTCTCTCCCCCTTGAGTGGGGGCCAATCGGGACTCCCATTTCGAGGTCAAACACAAGTCAGCAGGCGGTCGTGTACATCCCAGTGTGAGTCAACTTCGGCGAGCGAGATGCGCCGCTGCACCAAAACGAGGAATGAGGTGTCGAAATATCGTGCTGGACCGGCCAAGGCCCCTTCAAACATACTGTCAAGGGGTACCTTGGGTAGAAGCAATTGGGCTGATTTCAACTCGCAGTATCGACAGGTGTCCAGGGCTTTGGCTTTAGGCCAAGGCAGGGCGGGCGGCTTATTATTCATAGTCCATGCTCCGGACTTATGTAAGTGGGGGTAATTACGTCAGACGAAAGTGGCTCTGGGCACACGAAGGTCCCTGACCTGTGGACGGGAAGGGATCCAGTCAGCTAAGGTACCTAGGTAGGCTGCTGAAAGTGAGGAGTGTGAGGAAGAGCTGAGGGCGGCAGTGGAGGGCTGGCTCAAAGAAAATGCTTCTGAGGTCAGCCAGGTTCTCGGGGCGCCGCACTGTCCAGCATAGCCTAGACATACTGTACGCGTGAAGTGGTGGTCAAACCAGCAGAATGACCTGAAAACCTGGAAAATGGGAGGGCAGATGGGGGGTAAAGAGGTGCGCTGCAGGGCAAAGAGCACGGGCTGATCAGCTACCTTCCATTACCTAGGTACCTACGAGACAGGGCTGGGGCCGCGTCCCTCTCTTCCATTCACTGAGTTGAAAATACCCGCACAGTGTCGTGTTACCAATTAACGCCTCCCCCTTCTCCCGAAAAAGCGACGCGTTTACCAGAATTTCGCGACCGTCACCAACTCAAACCCTTGCACATCCAATACGGCTTTCACACAACTTCAGCTCCTACCACTCATCTTCCTCCTCCTCCTCACCTTATACCTTCCAGTACGGAAATCCTACCACTCTACTGTCTTCGGTGCTGTCACTTACACAGCTATCACGACATTAGAAATTTGCGTCTCTATAAGCAAGCACCGTTCCTAGTTGCCTGGTTCTACCATACGTCCTGAGAGCGTGTCGCAAGCGCGGCTCAACACCACCGCCCACCCACCTTTCCAACCTCGCGACGTCCATTACCTTGGCGTTTATCCTTCCACAAAGGAGCGCCAAATTTTTACTACAGTCACCTTACCCCCGTCTCACATTGTCGCAGAAAATATATAGACACCATACCTCTTTGTGGCACTTGCCTGCCCCGGACTTTTAGATCCAGCCCAGCCAGCCCTTCACCCTTCACGACTTGACGAGACACGACTTTCCCGTTCCTTCATTCCTTACACGTCTGAGACCAACTACTTCAATCAACCGCCCGCCATTGTTTATACCTTCCCGCGCTTCGCCTTCCGTCCTGTTCTGGCCCTTTCGCACAGAGGTGCCGCATGCTCGAGGCTCCTCCACCATGCCTGCCTCAGCAAAGCGCTCCCAGCGCACCCGTCGCGACACTCGCCGCGATACCTCCCCCGCAAGATTAGAAGACAGCTCCCCAACTCGGCCGGCAAAGCGCCGAAAGAAGGTAATTTGATGTCTCTGCTCACTCTTGACAACTTGGTCTTTTCATCATCGATGACACTAACGCCGCTTCGATCAGGTTGATGACCCTCCGCCTACCGA